AAGAACATATCATTGTATTATTACACCTGGTTAGAATCAGCGCTTGGAATTAGAAACACAGAAGTAGACTTTTCATCTGCAGACATCGACTATTCAACAATTTACAATATATGTATATATATATTCATTCTTCCCACATGATCCCATGTAGGCAGATTTGATTAACAAATAGAACAGTTGAATTCTTGTTCAAAATCCACTTTGATTAATCAGTATGTTTTTTCTGCATTTATGTATCTCACTGGGCAAGACAGGCAAATAAGAATCACTATGTTTTAACTACTTGAGTATTTTTGAACACTTTGGGGTTTAGGCAAATCAAGACAGTGGATATGACACTGAAAAACATCAGAGACACCGTCCAATCTCGTAGTCTCTACAGGACAGAGGACATTGTCCTGAAAATCCAGATACCTGAAACCTTCCAGAAACGAGAAGCACTTAGCCATGGGTCTGCTTCTCAATGAAGGGCCATACCAGCTGACCTTGAAGGTTCATTATTCTCCTTTGAAAGATAAAAACCCTTTTAACCAAATCCATTGGCTTAATCAGAAAACACAGTTCCTTCACGTGTCATCTTATAGTATTGCAGTTGCTTGATAACAATTGGTTGTAACCTCTGACAGAAAAAAAGGGGACTTCTCAGCATCTACAAGGATTAGTCAAACCTGGAGTCAGGGGACGGCTTGAGAAAGATCATAGAGTCCGAAACTCCATCTGCTGATTATTTACTTGACTTTTTTTACTAATGCTTTTTGTTAAAGGAAGTTTGACTGTGTAATTCTGGTACTGGCTAAAGGTAAAAACAACATTTTATTCAAAAGCCTGTCCCATTTAAAGCAAAGTAAATGTTCGATTATAACTGCTTTATCATTGGAAACATGATCTTTATAGGTGTTGCATGAAATATTATCTGCAAATGTACCACCTGAGCTCATGTCTATATTGTCCTGATAATCAATCTGGTACCAAATCACACTTGGGGAACACCCAAATAGATGGTTGTGAAATCTAAAGAAAAATATGAACCTGTAAAATAGAGCACGACCAGTTTAATATAGTGACATTACTGAAGCTGCTGAGGAAAACCTAGTATATCATTGGGCTCTATAGAGTAAGTGATATACTGGCCTAAACCTTATGTCTCCATTGTGAGCATGACTGAGAAGAAGAAGAAGAAGAAGAAGAAGAAGAAGGGAATGTGGGGCTTGTAGAGAATCCTGTTGTGGCCTGACGGAAGGGGAAGTGAACAGCACTGGATTTTCCCAGTTCTTCTCACATGGTTTCACTCAGTTTTATGGTCACTGCTTTCACCTCTGAGTACTCAGCCAACGCGTACTCTCCACTAAGACGACAGAGAAAACATGGGGTTGGTTAGTTAAGGAATAAAAAGTCAGGTATCCAGGTATCCGAGAAAAATATAAAACACATAGTAACGGAGGTGGTTCTTACAGCTCTCGTCCAATGCCTGACATCTTACACCCTCCAAAGGGTGTCTGGGCGTGAAGGGCATTATAGCAGTTTATCCTCAAGACAGAAAGAGAGAGAGAGAGAGAGAAAGAGAGATTATTATTCCTGTCTATGGCCCCAGTACATTCTGGTTCTATGCCAATATAACCTGACTTCATCCTTTGTGTTATAATTACTATGCCAACCAGAGGCCTTTGTCTCTTGGACCCGTTGGGGCACATATGTGGATCGACAGATCTTAGGCTACATCCACACTAATCCCTTCCACTGTAGAAAAATGAAGGCAAAATATCCTGGATGTGGGTATTGTCATCTTGCGCTGCAGACATCATTTGGAGTCAGAGTCTGTGCAGACACCATATGGAGGTTACACCGATACACACATTTAACCAATCATGCTGTGAATCATGAGGGTTCTTGTGTTTTTTATGGCAACAAATAACTAATGAAATCAAGCTGTAGTGTAGTCAGAAATTACTTATATGACAGAAATAGTCATATCAGTCTCTGGCTTCCTTTTAGGAGCTGTCATGTTGTAAGTGTGGTTTATATACAGGACAGACATGGTCCACAGTAATACGTTTCTGTTTTAAAACACTCTTATCCAAAGGACGATTTTTGCTAGAATTTAGACAATTTACCTTTAAAAGAGATGCTTTCAAAACTATAATGTATCAGTATGTATATAGCCTTTAGGCAAACATCTTATTGTTTATCTGCGCATAAATTCTGTCTGATACATAATTAAGTCATGGCTTTAAATGCAACTTTAGATTTTATTCTAATTGTTAGGCTTTTGTTGTTGTTGCTTGAGTTTGTTGTTTCGTCGTAGCTGATTAAAGGATTGATTACATAGATAATTAGGCCTTGACATAAGACAACTACATGCTCTTAAATCCTTTGAGTGAAGATTTTATGTAAATATGTATAAGAGAAATTGTTTGAGCAAGAAAGGATCGTTAAACAATTTTGTCAATCATGTATAATGGTCATTCAGCAGGTGCAGCAGCCCCTCACAATACCGGTAGTACTGGATCAGTCTATGTCTTAATGAATAATGACGAGGGAAATAAAAGCCTGTCCCTTGGTGTCAGGACAGTGAGCAGGGACTTACCACACAGTGCCAGTCTCCAGGGCTGCAGACACAGACAGAGCTCTGTCCATGCTTGTTGTGAAGACTGCTGACACCAGGCCATATTGTGAGCTGTTTGCTCTCTCTATGGCCTCCTGCTGGCTCTTAAAGCTGAATATACACTGCACTGGACCAAAGATCTGAGAGGGCAGAGAAATCAGTAGAGACCAGTCACACATACAGAGAAGTGAGTCCCACTGTGCATTTAAAGTCATCTGTTGCTATGTTTAGTCTCTTAATGACATCTATAAGAATGAATATGTAATATAACGTGTTTCTGGTAGTGTAAGCTTGTCTTTTCTCAGGTTGAAAACTTCAGGCAGACTGCAAAATGCACAAAATATTAAATATAATGAAGGCGTCAGTCTGAAATCTCAGACACTGACACCTTCCCCTCCTTGTGTATGTCAGCTTCATTTGTAATGTACTGAAATAAATAACCTCTTCCTTGGCGATGCGCATGTGGTCTTTGACCCCTGTGAAGATGGTGGGTTGAATGAAGAGGCTCTTGTCACCCACAGCGGCTCCTCCATACTCCAGTTTGGCTCCCTCCTTCTTCCCACTCTCAATCAGATCCATTATCTTGTCAAACTGCTTTCGGTCAATCTGAAGTCAGCATCAGGCAGACAGGTAGACAAGGGAAGGATAAACTTAAATAATATGACACAATGATAAAGAGACAATCGCCAAAATTAGCACACACCAGTTTAGCCAGCTACACCATATGCTGAGCACATAACAAAATGTGGCTCTAGTGAGTGCTGGTGAATCGATGTTACTTTGTATAAGTGGTTGCTGCTCATTACAGTGACCACGGACTTTATTTGGAGTTATTCAGTCTTAAAAGAAGGTGAGAGAAATGCACGAGAATTACTGGGTGTAACTTTTTTTTTAAATAAGCTTCAATGTGGGTCAACAGTAGCAGCATCTAGCACGTTTACTGGTTTTTGCTCACTCTCACTGCTTTCATAGCATTTATTTCTCCAGATATCCACGGAATATTACCGGGCCTGCCCCAAACAGCTCAGAGGCACAGGACAGACTTGCTTATAAACATACAGCCATGTTCTGGACATCTACTGAGATGAAGATATTCACGTCCTGCAAAAACACTGGGCCAGTGGTGCTGCTCTTAATTAGACATGGGGACAACAGCATTGTTCTTGTAAATGTCAGATTAAACGCCCCACCCCAATTTAAGTTTACAGCTGCTTCGTATTTGAGTACTGGTTCTTGTGGAACGGCCTCCCACACAGCATCTGACACAAGTCTGAGCAGACCTATTAAACACATGAGAGCGTTTAGAAGCTAAATAGCCATATATTTACCTCAGTAGTCGGTAGAAAACAAAATCAGAGCTAAAATGTCATGTCAACTTCAAAGGTGTCATTTCCACAACTTGTTTTCACTGCCCCCAAATGTTGTAAAAAAAAAAAAACTGTCATTGCAGGCAGGCCTTGTTGATTTGTATTCTGTGATGCTCTGTGTGTTCCTACCTGTGGCCCATGTGATGTCTGGGGGTCTAGCGGGTCTCCTATGACAATCTTCTTGGCCTTTTCTATGCTGCAACGTAGAAACTCTTCATAAATACTTTCCTCCACAAAGACTCGTGATGCGGCCGTGCAGCACTGACCCTGGTTATAAAAAGCTCCCTTCTGGGTTTCCTCCACAGCCAGCTGCACTGCAGACACACATGCACAAACACATAAGATAAGAGCCACAATAACATTTCAGGAAACATTTTGCAGGACAAAGTTACACTTTTTCATGCTCAGCACCAACCACCAACCCTGACCCTGTTCTGTGTTTGGGGTATGTGGTGAGTTGGTTGTAAGGTTGTAATTTAAATGTTTTGTATCCTCTAAGTATTATTTCCTTCTGCTTGACCACTCAAAGTGCTTTGCAGTACAGTTGCCACTACACACATTCATACAGTGCATCTATTAGCAGCAGTTATATTGTTTTATGAGGGGCAATTCAGGTTTCGGCATCTTGCCCAAGGACACTTTGGCATGCAGATGGGGAAGACTTGGGATCGAACTGCTGACCTTCTGGTTGGAGGAAGACCGCTCTAGCCCTCAGCCACCGCTGTATGCAATCACTTAAGTATATTAAGATTAAGATTAAGATTCCTCTTTGTGGTCCCACACACAGCATGCAACATGCAAACATAGGGAAATTTGACCTCTGTATTTAACCCATCCGTGTGAACGGAGCACACACGGAACACACGGAACACAATCCACACAGAGACCACACGGAACAGTGGGCAGCCATGAAGGTGCCCGGGGAGCAATTGGGGGGTTCAGTCGCTATGGATGTGCTACTGTCATGAAAACAGCCAATAAAACAAAAGATCATAGCTGTCCTATTGACAATTAAGATGTATCGATTGATTTACTTCAACTGATGCACGCAAGAAAAAAACAACAGGGTTAGGGTTAGTGAACTGCACTTTGAATTGAATGATTATTTTCTACCGAGCTAACATAAACTAGTAGAGACTGAAATGCAGAAGAACTGAAGCTGACAGTTTCTTTATTACCTGCTCCATGTTTGCTTGTCTGTCTGCCTCATTGATAGCAGGATTACGCAAAAGCTACTGGACAGATTGTGACAAAACTTGGTGCAAGAATCTGGTATGTCACAAGGAAGTAATGATACAATTTGATGCAATTTTTTTACTTTGGGGCACATTCAGGGGTCTGGCATCTGTAATAGTGCACAAATTGATTTCATTGAAAGTGACGACTGGGCCTTGGTGGAGGTAAGTGATTTGCCATTCTAGTTTTAGATGCATTTATAAAGAAAGATTGCAAAGGCTTTTAGACTTGGACAGTTTGAGCTGTTTCTCAATGCAACTGGAAATGAACGACAGGCCAACTACATCTCTAATTTCAATTAAAATGTTTTGGTCAATATTTCTGTTGCTACTTTTCTCATCTGGGCACAGGGTGACATCACCATTCTTAATCCCACCTTCACTGCTCTGAGTGACTCATTTATGTTTTATTAGTTCTTTTTCTCTTTTTTTTTTTTTTTTACTGGGGAAACAGCTTTCAATAAGCACAACATCAGAACTAGTGGAGTCTCTACAACATGTGGACAATCAATCAGAGATTGGGAACCAGACTATTAAGCCCTCTCATATTCCCAGAAAAAAATGACTGAGTGAATTCTCAGTAACACTTGGGGATAGAGGAAATCATACTAGAGTCACGATATGACTCTAACTCAGGCTGAAATGATCAAAACATAATGTTTGCATTGATTGTTCCATTTCATATTGAAGCTAAGATAATCCTTGATTTGTCCCACAACAGGGAGATTTGTTGTGTTACAGCATCATAGAGGACATTCAAAAAATAGACAGATCATAAAAAGGAATCTCAAGAAAACATTGACTGTGAATGCAAGGAAATATAAAAATATGAATGAAATAATAGTGAGCAGAATATACACAGTGCTAAGAAAGAGAAACAAAGAACCAGTTAACTTACAGTTACAGTCAGCAAACACTATGCAGGGGTTCTTCCCTCCCAGCTCCAGAGTCACTCTCTTCAGATTACTTCTGGCTGCTGCTTCTTTGACCAGCTGGCCAACCTGTACATATAATGGTGTACAGGAGTTAGGGGTCAAATCTTAATGCACTATGGGTAATACAGACAAAAAAATCTCAATAATTAGTAACATAACCACAGCGTCTTTAGAGGTAAGTGTTAATGCTGGTGTCTGTTCTACTGAATGTAAATATTACTTTCAGGCTTCTTTGGTGGTGGGTCAACTATCCCTTGAAACACTTTCTTGAGCTGCACCTTAATTTCATTGTATGTTGTACAATGACAATAAAGTTTCTATTCTATTCTAAAATTGAAAATGAGCTTGTGCTAAAACTCAAGAGTTAAGGGGTGTTTTGTGGGTATTGCTATGCCCCACCACAAGAGGGCAGTAACACGTTGATGATGGGTCATGATGGGTTACTGCACAAATACCACACAATTACAGCTTCCTGGCAATGGCAACTACAGCTTAGCAGCAAGATGAGTGACAATGACAAAACTAAAGGTATTAGTGTAAAGAAGTCATTCTAGCAAATCCATTCACTACTGTGGCCATCAGTATTGGGCCAGTTAGTCACCACAAAAGTGCTGCCGCATGTAAGCAGGGACTGAAATCAGACTTCTTGATGGTTATGGAACTATGGAGTTGGACTCTAAGGGCTGTCTTACACAGACACTGCAGCTGCTTCAACTTGCTTTTAATGAAAAAGTTAATGCGGTTGACTCACCAACTTACCAACCCAACCAAATTTGATAAATAGATTCATCATATAAATATTCACTTAGAATTCACCAGAATAGTATCTAAGCTTTACTTATACATGCACATACCTCAGTAGAACCAGTGAAGGCCACTTTGTCAATGTTCATGTGGCGGGCTATTGCAGCTCCTGCTGTGGGACCAAACCCTGGAACAATGTTTACAACTCCAGGAGGAAAGCCCGCCTGAAATGACAACACAGAGTAATGATAATGTTAGGAATCAGCCGTGATTTAATGTCTCAGCAGCAAAAGATGGGGTTAAAAGATATTAGCCACATATGACAGCACATGTGGTGGTCATGTTTCAATAAGTCATCCATTTCCCCATTCGCTTTGGTGATAGTTCAGTAATTCTGTTTTGTTAAGAACATTATGTGAAATGTTACTATGGTTGACAATTATTTGTGTGTTGGCACTAACGGTGCAGTTATGGCTAGAAAAAGAAATGGCCTCTGGGAGTTTACTGTTCAGGTTCAGATTTTCTCCCCTGCTGGGTACAGTCATTAGCAAAACATAAGAGAGGCAGAGCAGTCTCATCACCAAGAAACATGATTTTCTTCTTCTTTAAGAATCTCTTTAGGAAGAGGGCTATATGACTAAACCTCTCTCAGGCCACAGCTTGGATCAATCCCATTGTACATGTTGAGCCTAACATCAGACCTCTTTGATGAGTGATCCAATGTGGAGGGCCGTGAGGGGGGTCTGCTCTGCTGGCTTGATGACCACAGTGTTTCCACAGCTCAGGGCCGGTGCGATCTTCCACGTGAACATCAGTAGAGGAAAATTCCACTGGCATAGACAAAAAGAACAAAGGTAAGTCAACTGCCAAAACTTTTTCAAACGTGTGTTCACTATTAGATGATACAGAAATGAGTGTTAAAGTGTGCCACAGTGGGTCAGATAGTCATTGTCATTCTATCCTTCACACAACAATGACTGTTGAAAGAGCTTCTAGGTCTTAGATACCACCAGGTTATATTACAGGATTTTTTTAAATGACATGACATGATAGCAGTTGTGTTATTTAAACAATCAGTGGAGTTAGTGGATATTTACAGCTAAAACTTAGACATAAAACAAATACTGTGATAGTAGTATCCCTAATACCCTTAATAGTATCAAAACAATTTTGAGAAATATCCCATGAAGAATAAAATCCTTTATTTATTCAGGGATGTTTTTCCTAACTTGCTGACCACTGAGGAGCTTCACCAGAGCAGACAAGAGTAGTAAGAGTCTTGCTACGTGGCACTGCTATTCCACTTTCCCTGCAGCACCAGGATGAGAATACGGAACCTCATAGTCACAAACCTGCTTCTCTTACCTCTAGGCCAGCACTGCACTAATTTGAATGTGAAGAATGTGAAGCAGAAAACAACTCAGAACAAACTACAATACACTATACCAACATTGTACATGTGCAAAATGTGTCTCCACAAAAACTCCAACAGTGTGAGGTGTGGGATTTGTAATCATACAAAAATAACAACCTGACATTAAGCAGTTGGAGGGCTACTTTTATGTATTTAAAAATGTATTTATTCTGAATATGTAACTTTGTTACATGTATACTGTTATTCCCCAAAACGTAACACCCACTTTATGAGTGGAATCTGGCCAAATGTGTGGCGATGTGACAAAATGCAGGGTTCTCTCCCTTGTCTTCCATTTGTCATACACATACTTTCCTCACATTTTATGATTACAATCAAAAGCACACCATTAATGTGTTCTAGCAGGGACAAAGTATGGGACATAATTGCCATTGGCATCCTGCTTCTCTCGATGATTGTAAGGTTTTGTCCTGTCTTGCCCAAAGGACTTATGGGGTGTCCAGTGGTCTGAGTCTTTCTTGGTATATCACATTTTAGGTGTTGTGCACCTTTCAGGCCACAAAAGTACAGGGCATACTAACATGATGAGGAAGTAATATGCTACATTATCTTCTCAAATATAACGTTTTAGGCTAAATAAACCTGATAGCTTTTGAAATAAGAATAGTTATGACTCAATTTACTGTAAGTGTTGCAGTTGTGTGTGTATCACTTTAACAAGACTATATGAAAACCAGTTGTTTTACAAAATCACCTAAAGACCCTCTCCAATACAAATCCAGTTTCTAACCCCATTAACAAGGTAGCTTGACTCATCATGAGCAAAATATTCAAAACCATGGCTGACAATTTCCATAAAAAAGATTCAAACGGCCTGCGTTTCTTCCTTCTTATAACCAATGAACAACTTACAGTGAAACCTCTCATACTGCTTATTTGACCAATGAGTGGAGAAGCCAGAATAGTTCATTATTAGTATATTGAAATGAAAATGTAACATTAGCAACACATTACTGGCTGTTTGATAACATGGTCAAGCTGAATACTCAATACATTTCACACGTTTCCAACAAAGAGAGTGAACAACTACAGCTGCTGAATGGAGAGCATACAGCTACTGACAGCAGCAACACAGAAAGCAGATGATATTGTGTTTGATGAGCAAATTAGTTGAAGGTAAGAGAGGAGGTGTGGTTGGAGATAGAGGCCGTGAGAATTTTCATATTCATAGATCAGTGATTACTTAATGAACCAAAGGTGTAGAGTTACATTCTGCTCTGCTACTCAGAGACAATCAGTTCCTTGCTTACAAGACAGCACTCCTGACTCCCTTCTCTGGAAAGTTAGTAATATTCACCCAAAAAATAGCCAGCTCTGCTCCTGGACAGTCTGTGGCGGTACTTGGTTACACTGATACATAATGTCCCAGACGTTCTTAATCGGATTCAGGCCGGGGGAACGTGAGGGCCAGTCAATGGCATCAATGCCTTCGTCATCCAGGAACTAACTACTTATTCTCTTGCAACCCACATGAGGCCGGGTATTCTCCTGCATGTGTCGCTCAAGTGTTCTCTTAATTTTTTGGAGCAGTGTGTATGTAGCTACTACTTTGCCCCTGATAACGTAATATAAACTGATTGAACCAGTTCAGTTTGAAAGAGTACCAGCTAATGAGGAAACTTCAATGATCGCCCAGCCAATAGTGTCATCAAAAACTCAACTCACTCGACATAGAGGACCATCATTGGTCCAGCCAAAAAGCAAAAGTCTACCAACTCCTGCATTTTGTATCATGACAGCTATGAACATTACCTGGAGACAAATTGATTTATTCAAGTCAACAAACAAAACACTAGCAGACACAACAGTGTTAACCAAAGTTAAGACAAAGTCATGCAGGCAGCATGAATAAACAGGCTAACTAGCAGGGATTCTACTGTCTGACTCTGCAACATGAACAAATATGGCAAACCATGAAGGCACCAGGGGTTCTCTTTGGCCCATAGGCTTCAGTTCGACATGTATGAAAAGTATCAATGGCAGCAAAAATATGCAAGAGCTAGTACGAGGAGCTGCCAAGACCAGCTGAATATATGATTTTGAAGTACTGAGTGTGAAAAGCTATAGTAAGCCCCAAGGGGAAAACATGATCAGTCCGTTACCACCCACACTGATTAAAGCTCAGCTTTGTCACTCAGTTTCCAGATGAGCTTTAAGGTTTATCACAGAATGCCTCCATTTATATGGCTGGCAGTAAGTCTGATGGCGTATAAAAGCTATTTAGGCAGAAGAAGGCGTAAAATTATGTCACGTTGGACTTAGGACTGCAAACACAGGCAATGCACTGCATGCAGTGTGTGCAGACCCCCGTACACACTTAATGCAAAAGCATCAGTTGATTCATTGTTGGCCAGCACTTATGTATGCAGTAACATAGGCATTGTACCGGAAAGTGATGGTGATGAGAGAGCCGGCAAAGCCTGTTTACAAGGGTCTAATCCTCACACTGGCCTCACATCAGACTGGCCTTTTTTTCAGGGTGGGAGTAGAAATGTCTGTTTGATATTGAGAGAAAGTACTTGAGATGATTCAGGCATCTGAAGAGGACACCTCCTAGATGCATTTCTTCTGAGTTTTCTTAGAAGGAGTCCATGGAGCAGACACAGAAAACACTGAGGAGATTTTACATCTAATCTGGCCTGAGACCATCTTGGGAGAGATATTTGGCAGGGGTGTAACAATTCTGAAACCAGAGCACACACTATAATTGCGACACCGGATGACGTAACAAGGATACCTTTTGGTATGAACCACCACATGACTAAAAACCGAGGTCCAAACCAAGGAGTTTGGAGAATCATTACACATTAACATGTTTCCTTGACTAATTTGCTGCCACCGATGGATAAAGTGTGTAAAGTGGATGGGTTGATGTTACAGGTGATCACATTACCACAAACTAATTGCTTTACAGAGAACCTGGCTTTGGATAGCCATTTGAAGTGCTGGGCCACAGTAGTGACCTGTTTTATCCAGTCGGAAACTGGCCTGGGCTATGTGGCTACTTAAACAAAGCAATAGGCAGGTGTAAGTTCTAGATAATTCTAATTGTAAAACACACAAATGTGTATGGAAGAATGTGGGGCTGTAGGATTCAAATTTTAAACCTGACACATGTATTAAAGTTTGTTATGTAACTGTGACTTATCTATAACTGCAGCAGTCTCCAATGGAAATAATAATAAGCAGCAAACACCAAGGCTAATAACGCAAATAACACACGCATCATTAGTGCTTTGGTTTTTCCAGTTAAATCCACTTTATCACTTGGATGTTGGTCTGGAGAAAATATACAAGACAATAAAATGAGTTATAAATCATTAGGACTGGGGATGAATAAACAAAATAAACAAATCTGGAAAAAGAGGTAATTAATTTTCCAGTTGCTCATTTCCTTGTTGGAACCCAGTGGACAAGTAATTGGGCACTCAAACCCAAATTAGACAGCAATATTTGTGAGTGCTGCATGTTTATTGTTTAGGCATTGTTAACTTTTACAACACTTTGGAAACACTCAGCACCATTAAGGGATCTTGGGATCACCAGTCGGGAGAAAGGTTTCCTGTTTTCCTCTGACAATGACTCATGCGGTGTGAGTGCCAGCAGTACTTTCAGTAATTACACAACGTTCTTCAGTATAAATTTCACTTTTATGATATAATCTCCCATGTCAAACAACAGCCGTTTTGTTCCTTTGTTGCCAAAGCAACATTAGAGGTTACAGGCTTATGTTCAAAGACAAAAACTGAATGGCTGTATTCTGTCACGATGTCGAAATTACACTCATGTGTCTACGACAAAGTGAAACTTGATAGGGTGAAACACCAAACACTACCCCACCCTAAATCTGATGAAGTTATTATCAAAAGAAGAAAAAACATATATTCCAGTGGGTGAAAGTAAATCCAAGCAGCACAGGATTGAGACTGTGTGTTCCTGTAAGAACAGCCCTAAAGGGATTAGCAGAGACAAGGTCATGTTAAGGGAGAGCAAAGATTAAGATAAGGTTTCTGGTACGCACGGTTTCATTTCATCCTCTCATGCACACAGGGCTTTTCAAATAAGTGCAGTTGTCTTACCAACACAACATATTCATGATCCGTGCTTTTATAGAAAGTGAAGCTCAGTCTGCAGAGGTTCCAATTAAGCCTTGATGTAGCTCAGAGAAAGCCAGAGATGTGAGCAGTGTTTATAATAGAGCCATTCACTCAAAACTGTAATCTGGTGACATCTTGTCTCAAAGCATAAAAAAAACTATGTGAAAGGAACATATGTTCCTGTCAGAGAAGATTTTATCTCCAGAACATGAATTGATTAACGGAGCTGGGTATGGCGCAGCATTGCCGCTAATTTGCCCCAGTGGACAATTGTGGTACAGCAACAATAACTCAATCCAAAAAGAATTGTCCAGATAGATATCAGTCAAACCCCTGAGAGGACACAACCTGCACACAAGATCAATTATGATTCAATATAGCATCTGGAATAGTGACTCCAAGGCAAAAAAAAGAAAAAGCACAGCAACTTCAAATCTTTTTTAACATCCGTAGCAGGACAAGCAACAGAAGACTGGCCTTAACTGTTATGGCTAAAAATAGATGTCAATTAGACGATACTGAAGTGGAATTAATCTCAGATCTCAGAACAGTTTTTCGCCCAATAAAGGATCTGACTGTCAGTTTGCCATTTAGTAATTTACAACCCCATCTGTGATATATTAGCCCTATGAGACAAATGGGATTTGTGAATATGGGCTATACAAGTAAAATTTGATTGATTGATTTTATTGTGTGTCAATGTCTACAACACGACCTCTCATCCTCAATTCATCTTTATTCCAGAACTGAAAATGCAGCTGACTGATGTGTGTGCTGGACACAAACAATGTTTTGAAGTAAGGCATCACTTTGGATATGTGGACAGATGATTACTTACAGAATCAGTTATCTCTGTCACTTTTCATTACAGTGACTGATTAAGCAAGTGCTTTGCACAATATATTACATTATGCGATCCCATGATGCATACAGTCTGGATAAGTTTAAAAGTAACTGTAGCTCATGTGTTTCATTTTAATTTTTTAGTTTTGTACATTATTATAACAATTCAATGTATTTAATCAGATTTAAAACATCATGCTTTCTAAACATCTCCATCTGCAGTGGTGGGATGTAACAGAATACACATAATTCATTACTGTACTTACGTACACTCTTCATGTATCTCTATTTTACTCAAGTGGATTTATTTTTTGATACTTTTTTTTTCTAATAGTAATCAAAAAAGAGAGGGGAAATGATGCACTGATCCAATATTTGAACCAGCAGCAGCATTGAAACATGAAATAGATTTGGTTTTCAGTAGCATCCTCTGCAGCATTCCTTAATAATATGACAGAGGCTGTACTTTTCTTGTGTTTAACCAAATATACAGTAGACACAGTTAATGATGTAGTGGATACCTTCCAGTGTCTTCAGTGATCTTATCTTCAGAGCACAAATCTGCATAAACTCACTGAACCCAGCTGTTGAAGCCAAACTCTTTGACATGTGTTAAAATGACAAGCTAGCAATTTCCCCATTCTCACAGTCTTTGTGTCAAGCAAACCTTCCAAGACCAATCAATGGATGTATTCAACATTGGATCATGATTCATGGCATCCCTGTCATTCCTGTGAGACCTGGATATGCCAAACAGATTCTCCTATTTCTGCTGCAGCTTTTTGGACCTAATGCTTCATATTCTCTGGACTACAGTATCTCTGAACTGATCCACAGAGATGAAACAGAAGACAGCCAGCAACACTGACATAGACCTTGATGACACACTCAAACACACAAATAGATACAGGGAGCTAAAACGAGGTTGGCATCATAATAGTGTGTGGATTCTTTGTACTTAAAACTGGATACTGTTCAATGTTCGGATTTATAAAACATAATTACTTTACTACTTTACTTTACTTTAGGGCTGCATGATGTATCGAAAAATTTCCATCACGTGTACATGTGTAAACTCGGTAAAAACAACAGAATTTGTAAGTTTAGTCAATGTATGGAGATCATGCACACATACACACACATTTGTACCTCTATCTTAGTGAGGACACTCACTGACATAATGCATTCCCTATGCCTAACCCTAACCCTTCACATAACCATAACCTAAACCTAACTCTAACCCTAAAACCAAGTCTTAGCACTCGCTTGAAGTAAGTGACTCGCTAGCCCATTGAAAAAGTGAGGATGGGTCAAAATGTCCTCACTTTCCAAAAATGTCCTCACTCTGCTTACAAAGATTTAAGCACACACACACACACACACACACACACACACATATAGCAGCATATAGCCCCAAATATTATGTGTCAGCTCATTCCATTTACCATATGCAATCAGTGTATATGGGCCTCATTCAATTCTCAGATAAATCCTTTTCACACTAAGTCCAAGACATCTAGACAGTAATCTGATTTCATGTTCAACATTATTGTTCATAAATTGAAACCAGATCCCCGCTGGACTTACAGGAATGATGGCTCCACAGACACCAACAGGCTCGTGTTTAGTTAAACACATGAAGCTTTCATCTGTAACAAAGGAAACAACACAGAGACAGAACAATCAGTCTGATGCATTACATTGCAGGTTCCACTCTTAGAGATCACAATCAGTGGGTGTGTGTGGGTTTGATGAATAATGTGCTCTGCTTCACCTGTAGCTAGACTGAACAGTCTGCACAGTGGGGGGGGGTTCGCAAAACCATGGCCGAGTTATTCTCGGAACCACAACCAAGTGTTTATTACTGTAACCATGATGACTCAGGTTCATTTTCACCCAAACCAAGAAGTTTCCAAACCTGAACTATAATACTGCCTCATCATAATGTGCAATCTTGATGTGGCACTGCGTGGAAAGATGCTGTCATACAATTTGGAGGACCTATTTGTCCTATTGACCTTTTTCTTAAACTGAAATATTTACGAATGATGATTAAAGTAAAAATATTTCTGTAAAGGAAGGAAAGGTTATTTACCATTTTAAAAATTAAAACAGCATCCAACAGCTGTGTTTATATAAAGATACAGTGGAGTTACAGTGTCACAAGCAGTGAGTGATTTCCTACACCCTCTGTGTGTGTTGTGATCTCTGCTCTTTCACTCGGCCCAGGCACACGTTCATGATAGTGCATGTGAGTCCCTCCCTGTGAAGCTGTTTGAAACGCTTTCATTCTAAAAGCAAGATGGCTCCTGCTCCGGTCAGCAGTGACAAATAAAATGACACCCAGGTGGACCCACTTCTCACCCCTTGTTCACTGTGGTATATTTTAAGAACACACACACACACAATGTAAACACATCTGTCACTCGCCATGCCCCTAACCCTAAACTACAGATGAGACGTGACAGATCCATCCTATCATGTTTGTTGTTGTCATTAGCTCTCCTTTACACAGGAGAACCATATTCAGTTGTGCTTCTGGTTGTACGCTTAGGGGTCTCATTCATTGGGCTTTCCAATACCCATAGTTTGTATGAGTAACAACATGCTGAGACCTGGAAGAGCGAGAGGAGGTGTGGCTCATGGCGCATTTGTTTGGTGGTAATGAATATCATATCTATAACCTCTAAACAAAATCAGTTGAGTTAAAGATAAAACAATGTTCAGAGGGTTTTTCTAGTTTTGCAGCTGTCAGGCACATTTTAAGCTTATTAATCGGTGTCATGTATACATTTCCTTTACATGATTGCTTGATTACACTGTGCTCTATTACTTTAACTGAACTGCAACTGCGATATATCTCTTGTATCGTTAAGCTGGTTTTGCTTTAATCCTATCCCACCTGTACTAATAGTGAGATCAATACCCCGTGTGTATGGTACAAGGACGTGTCAGGGGCTCAGCGAACTGACCTTCTCTAGTTTCCTGTGTGGCTGATCACAGACTGGGTGTCTCCCCACAACAGGACTCGTCTCCTCATTTAAAGCATGTTGCTACCAGCCAGTAACACAAGATTCACAAGAAGCTTGTCAGCAGTTAGTTTGTGCTCATCCACACTGAAAAGTTTCACTACATATTTGAGTGAGTTGAAGTTTGTGGTAAATTAATGAGCTTTGGGTCCACTGCCATGTTTGTTATGTATTCTATGTTCATATTTTATATACATACTTCATATTTACAACCAAGTATTAGGGCCACTTAAAGGGGAAGAAAAATCAAAGATAAAGTTGTAATATTACGAGAATAAAGGCGTAATTTTTAGGCTACGTGTGATTTTAGAGGGGAAGTATCAGAAGATACATCGTCTGCACTAAACATACTCTAGTAAAAGTTACAGAGGAAAAAAAAAATCCCTCCTCTTTAGTGGAGAGGAGGAGGAGGAGCAGAGTCTGGTATATATGTTATATATTTATAACAATGTTTTATCACTTTTTGCTGTTTGGCTTTGATTGATTTTACTGATGAAGATACTAGGGTTTGTTCTTAAGGCTTGAGTACTCCGGCTCTGTTTGTGTCTTCGACTTGTTACAAGTTGCGTGAAACTAAAGGTTCTGATTTCAATCAAACTAAACTGCTGCAAATTGCTGTTCTGTGAGGGTGAGCAGGAAGTGAAAATGTTCATTTCTGTGGAAAAGAAAATGAAAGCAGCCTCTTATTGTGTCTGTATACGCAGGGATTCAGCCGCTGTCAGCACATTTAATACCAGAGGCCGAATCCTCTGGTGAGAAGAATAAATGGAATGAAAAGTGAAAATATTTCCTATCTATCTTGAGTGGTGTGTTGCAATTAGTTAGTTTTTTTCTCTGTCTCAATCTGTCAACTGGCTGAATCACTACAATGTTGACTGGAAATTCAATTGTACCGTTAAATTGCTTTATCTTTGCTTTGTCTTTATTTCTAATACTTTTACTTTTATTATATTTTATTGAATTAAATAATTCAGAATGAAGAATATGGTTTTAGCCAATATTAATGTTTCTACCACATAACAGTCATTAAACTGTTCTGTCTTGTCCATGTTTACTTTGGCTTCACCTGCATGAAATGAAACTCAAACTAGTTGTTTCACAGCAGTAGCTCTCTCACTATGGCATGTTTGTCAAGCTCATATTAGACTCAGCATTGTATTCAGTGTATTCAGCCCACAATCATGCACTTTTCTGTTATGTGAGACAACTCCAGTATAAAACTGGGGATTACTGGCTGAGTGGCTGCTGGTTGGGAGATGACTGAGCCAACGCTGATTGTTAATCCTCACAGACTGTTGCACCTCACTGATCACTATCTCACTCTCTTCCTCTTCCTTTTGTCCCGCCATGCCGTGCAGCTCTCACCACCCCATTGGGATCTAATCGGGAGGAAAAGGCAAGCGTGTTTTGTCTATCTGCTGTCCTGCAGAGGCGGACGAGAAGCAAAGTAGTCTGTGACAAGAGGGGGGAAGTATTAAGAGTTTGAATGCGATACCACCCAGGGCTGAGGGCAATTACTGAGCCATGACAAGTGACTTGCTCTATAGTAATTAACTTGTTTCCCAATGGTGCACTTGTTACAGATTCCCTGTAACATGCAAAAAACCTGGAAATCATCATACAAATTATCTTGTGCTACTCTTAATTATCTAGATTTATTCATGTGGAAAAATGTTGCATGACTTTGTGTGGAGCTTGTTTAAAAAATATAATATGTGTATGTGGGTGTATGGAACATGCAGTCTTTGTGGCTAAAAGAGAAAATGCACTGGTCAAACCCTTTCCGGTACTACACATGATCTCTCACTGCGTTGTTGGCCATTCACAGATTGCAGGTGATGTTTGTCAAATTCCTGCAGGTTAAAAGCAGATGACGCCCACTCACCCACGGGCAGACTCTTGCCATGAATCTTGTCAGCCCAGCCTGCGTAGTAACGAAGGGTTTTGATGCTGCCGTCCAGATCAATGAAGAAGGACTGCAGGAAAGGTTTCCCAGTGTCCAGAGTCTCCAGGGTCTGAGGAATCAGGAAGACAGAAGAAACAAAGAAATGTGTCCCTGTAACTGCACAGTAGATGAGGCAGGGGTGTCAGAAAAGATACAATATCCATCTTTGTTAATGGATGAGAGTTTTTCTTGTTATCTCAAAAGATGAAGCATTGTATGCTTTTCACCTCACTACGGAATATCTGATTTCTTTTACTCGACCTCCTCATATTGTTGGAATACAACACAAGACATTTAAATTATAGTCCGATAAAGCTTGGAGCACATGAAAGTACTAGTTACCTAAGATACACTGAGGATGGAGGTGTTGATGCAATTTTGTTGTCAATCGAAATAGGTGTAAAAAGGCAATCTCTAGGTTTCAACAGAAGTATGCAAGCAATAGAAAGACAGACAGATTCGACCTTCCTTTAGATTTTCCTATATTCTACTTCTTCAAAGTCTTTTGGTTGTTTGCTGTTTCTCTGGGTGACATTAGTATTGAGCAAATTTAATAAATCATATTGACCCTTTAATAATTATTCATAATCTTTGGGAGCTTCCAGGCCCACTCTTGCACAGTTGCCCATAGAGTTACTATTGGCCATCTACAAACAGTTTTATTACTGGGACTGGACGGTTCCAGATATAATAACAATTCCTGCTATGGTGGTGAAATAATTTAGGGCCTGAACAAAGGCAGTGAGTTGTATGAGGGTGAAGCCACTGGCAAGGCAGTTTCTATGAGGAGCCAAGGGTGGTGCTGTAGGATTTCAGCCACAGTTGTCCACTGCCATGTACAGTGGCAACAGGCCAATTTGAGCATGTAAAACTGAGATGACAATTATATTACATAATAATGAATATGTCTGAATGTGTCAGACGTGATTTATGATGTATTGTGTAGCCTGCTCATTTCCACCATGTTTGCTGGAGTTACTTTAATTTCATTGTGAAAGGAGAACAAAGAAGAAGTGAGGCTCTGAAACCACTGCACCTTCAAAAGGCCTGAATCTGGACCTTATTTCCTCAAACATATCTGGGACTTTAGTGTAATTAGCCTTAGCCTGCACACTAGCACTCCAGAGCATGTTTGCAATCAGCAGTCACATGCAATCTGGTATTATTACTTCACTCACATCTGTAAGAGCTCATTTACAGATCTAAGTCTTAACTGCAACCTGGCAGCAAAACAGAGTGAGAAGGCACAGCAACAGGGATCTCACTCCAAACAATATCTGGAGGAGAGGGAACGCAACATCCAGCAGTCATCACGAGCAGAGGGTGGGGTCACAGTGTCATGATGTCACGCTATATTATAGACCAGTCCCATGTGAATACGTCAATGTAATTACAGCACATGGACAGCTGCAGGAAAATCCCATAGTTTTGTTGCTCATGAAACAGTAATTGCCTCCCTTACTGAGATCTATTGTGAAATGAATGAATGAATCTCAAGCACATATGACACTGGAAAAGGGAAACTGCTGTCACAGCCTGTTATTGTAATTCCTTAACGATTAATGATTCAGTAAAGATAATGAAATGTGGTTTGTGGTTTATGGCATAAAACAGTTATAATTAAATATTTAAAAATATATTTAATGGTCTTCAAATATGGTGCGGTGAGTAACTCCATTATTTTAATTTTTTTCAAAGTTCCAGTAAGCAGGATTAAGGGTCGGATGGCAGAAATAAATGCAATATCCATAATGATAAGAGTAAATTCACCTGAAAATACTAATCACAATCCCCCTCTATGGTGTCCATCATGTTTCTACGCTGGCCCAGAATGGAAAAAGCAAACACTGACTCTGGAGAGGGCCTCTCACATTATTACATTAGTTAAAACTGCTATAGATTATTTTACACACTTGGAATTGGAGGGTGAGACGAGGGGCATTTGTTGGTGCAATTGTGCAACTTCATTGCTTGATGCACAAACTCTTTCAAACTGGTTATTTACCTCCAGATTGTTTCACTAAAGTAGCGCCAACAAGATTACAGAGAACAGATATCTTTCAAATATCAAAATGAATGTGCCATTCATCAACTCCTCAAACCCATTATATTTTCAAGAACCCAACCAAACCCTATTTTATTTGGGCCTGTTCTAAGTCAGGCTGAAAAAAGTTGCTGTATGTGTAGAGTGATCAGCCGTCTACAGAACACACTACATTGATTTTGCCTAGAAGTTACTGGGTGTGAGCCCACCGCCAGCAGGAGTCGGTCCCTCTCTATCAAGTCGGCCAGTTTGAGCAGCAGCCTCCCGCGGCTGGACGCATCCATTCTCCGCCACGGAGAGCCTCTCTGCATGGCCACCTTGGCTGCCTCCACCGCCTTGTCCACATCTTCCTGGGTAGGAAGACACGTGTTGTATGTATCATAAAGACTGCCACAGGCTACAATAAACAATATGACAAATGAACATGCATGGATGCCCACAGAGTGACTTTTACTAAAGTTTCATGGTCAGTTTTCAGTTCTTAACTAGGCTTTTATTAGAGGAAGTGGAAACAGTATAAGAGAAGGAAAGTGGTTGTAATCATTACAGGCTTACAATTATTGTAAAATAGATTGTTTTGGTGCCCATGTTACCTTTCTTTATCAAAACTGTCCTGAACTGTGCAGCAATAAGCCAAACCTCATTGTGAAATATATTTTGTGGATATAAAACTACTGTCGATAATATGGTGACCTCATATGGTATAAACATTTGTATTTGTGTAGTTAAGTCCTTATCTTGTGCTATATTTCAAAACAGATATTTAAATGAAGTTTGTCAGGAGAAAATATATTACAGAAATCAACTAATTTAGAGCCAAAGCAGTCAATAATGTTATTTTAAGTATTATTCACCAGTAAAGTGTGTAGGCTATTATTATTAGTATTCTAATTCTTATATTATTATTATTATTATATTAAAGAAAGCCTGGAGAAGAGCAGTTGCAATGGATGCTGTCTTACTTTGTCGGCCTCTTCCACGTCGCAGAGTTTGACACCTGTCGCCGGGTTGAAGGTGGGGAACGTCCTCCCTGCGCAGGATGCGTGCCACTCATTGTCGATAAAAATCTGTGGAGCGTGTTTGATGGCACGTGATTTTTAAAAGTAGAACACCTGGACTGTCCACACTGAGCCCACCACCATGCCTTACCTTGGTGTGAGTGATGTCCTGGACTGGGACAGGCTGAGGCAGTGCAGGGATTCCTTCAGTCACTCCATTCTCTGTTATTCCGTTCTGTGCCATCCTGAGGTCACCTCTCAGTCTGCTCCGCGAGTCCGACGCTGTCAACGCGTCCTCTGGATTTATTCACAAGATCGTGGAACTCCTCCCTCCTCACACAGCAGCTGAGGAGAGCCCAGCTCCGCCCCTATCAAGTATCAGGAGTCCTTATCTGAGAGGGAGACTGGAGCATTCACTGCAGACATGTCACCTCCATCATATGTATCACATATGTATCACATATGTCTCATGTCCATCATATGTATCATGTTCATCATATGTATCATGTTCATCATATGTATCATGTTCATCAAATGTTTCATATGTTTCATGTTCATCATATGTATCATATGTATCATGTGTTTCATGTTCATCATGTTCATCATATTTATCATATGAGTCATGTTCGTCATGTTCATCATATGTATGATATGTATCATGTGTTTCATGTCCATCACATTTATCATATGTATCATGTTCATCAGATGTTTCATGTTCATCAAATGTTTCATGTTCATCATATTTATCATATGTTTCATGTTCATCATATTTATCATATGTATCATGTCCATCATATGTTTCATGTGTATCATATGTTTTATGGTCATTATATGTAACATATGTGTCATGTTAATCATATGTTTCATGTCATCACCCTGCACGTGCCCTTGGGTGGAGGCTTATGTGTTCAGTGATTGCAGTGTTTCTGTTGTGTGCGTGCAAATGTGATCGTGGCTCCAGAGGAGGATATCAGAGGACAATCAGTTCAAAAACATGATGTAAATTATTCTGTTTTGAGTCCAAATTAATGTCGGGGTTTCTGGACATTGTTTTTTCTGTTGTTTTATGACGTTTGAAGAATTAATCACCATTTACTTCAATTGTAATCGATTTGGAAGCAGCACTGTTTACCCCTGAAACTCCAAAAGTGTTTTGTGGACTCAAACACTTCACCCTCCCCTCCAAAAGCACATTAGTGTATAGATATTAAGTGAATTTTCTGTGACCTATCCCTTAATGCTTAGATTTAGCTTTGATTAAGACGCTGTACAGACCTGGTATTAACATCCACCCTCAGTGATATGATGACAAGTAGACAGCTCTTAATTCAAGCATGAAGGTGTCCATTCAGATCCAGTCCAACAGGTCACATTCAGAGGTCTGGGTTAGGCCACATTGTTTTATAAGAGTGACCACAAATGTGTCCCGGGCCACATTGAGGTATCTCCTCAGCTGACGTCCTCTGACGCGCCACAGTTTCAAAATAAACCAAAGGAATTTTGAATTGTGTTGATTTATTTGTGGACACCACCATAATATCAACACTGACTGACTACCACACGTTGATTTTCTTTAGTAAAATCCTTATTTGATTTGTTCAGCCCATCCTGTCCCTACTTTCTCCCCCCCCCCTCTCTCTCTCTCATGGACCACTCTTGAACTGGCAAAACACAACATCACTGGGTCTTTGTGGACAGAAATGATGCACATGTTTATTTGCAAATAGAATGGTGAAGTGAGATCCATTCACATGGGGTTACTCTATTGGTTTATAGGTGACAACGGACAAACTTAGAGCTGTCCACTTTTGACGGAATGACCTGAGAAATGTAAATACCAGATCTGAACAGGGCCAGAGAGATATCTTGAAGAGCGAAGGGAGAGTCAGGAGTAAGATTTCACAGCTGAATTCTTTGGCTGCGTCCACGGGTCCAGGCAATGAAAGTAATTAGAGTGAATTCATTCTCCTGCACAGTATTTACATCGCAACACAGCAGCTTTGATCTGCTTCTGCTGCTTTGAATCGGACTGACTGCAGGCTGCTCATCAACCTTGCAAAGGTGTTATCAGTTGTGATGTTCCTCGCAAAGTTGGTTTTTGCACCTGGACCTGGTGAAGTTGAATGGAGCTGAACACATGCAAACAAACGCTTTTGTTCTTGGGGACAAAGCTGCTTGCTTGCTCCAGACTTGCACTCATGCACAGGCTGCTATTGTTTCCCCTTCATCGGTTCTTGTCACCCTTTATGTCAAAGTTTAATTAGGACAACAGGCTTTCACAGGCTCATTTCTCACTTCAGCAAGTTTCTAACACTTTCTAATGAGAGAGAGAGTCAAAGGGAATGACTGAGCGGAGAGGAGAGAGACCCAGAGAGAGAAAGAGAGGGGGGGTGGATAGGGAGTGCGTATGTGTACGTGTGTGTGTGTGTTTGTTAGTGTCTCTGTGTGTGGCAACATGAAATGCAAAACGTGGGCTCATGCAAATCATCAGGAACCTGCTCAGACGAGTTGTTTTCTCAAACAGTTGAGGGATTAGCTGCAAGTGAACAGACTCTTTGTAAACAACAGTGATTTTTTAAAATCATTAAAACATCAATTCAGATATTTTAAATTGTTCTTACATTTAACAAATACCATGGAAAGCCCCAAACTCAAGCTGACTGTTTTGCACTGAAGATGTAAATATGAAATGCCTTACCTGTTTATTTCATTAAGTAAAAAAAAAAAAATGTCATCAAAATAATTTTGGGGAATAATTAATATAAAAAAGCCACCGATGCACTGGTTCAGTTTCATTGTATTCAGGTGATTGAGAAGTCCATCGTCCAGGCAAGTTTTATGTTTGGGTTGATTTATTTTCATGCAAACATACATGTGTTCCTCCTGCCTCTTCAGACACTAACACACCTGTTACCTTTATTTAGAATGTGTGCATAGTTAATGGTTGTATTTATATAGCACACACATTCATACATACAGTGCATCTAGAGTAGCGCAATTATTATTGTTGTTGTTCTATGAGGGGCAATTCGGGGCTTTGGCATGCAGATGGGAAGACTGAGAATCGAACTTCTGACCTCCTGTTTGGAGGACGACCGCTCTACCCCTCAGCCACAGCCACCCATAGTGCTTACAAACACAGCTCCTCCATACATATATATAGTTTTATTTCTTCAATTGATTATTGTCAAATGTCATTGAAAGAGAAAGAATTAATGCAGTTGGAGCTCCCGTGAATATTGCAGGCAGCAGGATGGTGTATGTGGGATTGAAATTAAATTAGTTCAGGCAGCCAACTCAAGCTGCACTGCTCCAATCCTGTGACAAACCTCACTCTCCTCAATCATCTCTAATACACACCCACCTTATAAGGCAGTCTTTTTAAGCCGAGAACATTTCCCATCACTCCCTAATGTTGGGTTGGCTCTCAAAACTGGTGGTTGGCAATCCTGGAAAATCTAGCAAGAGAAGTCTACAATTCGAAAATATTCAACTATTCAATTCAATTCAATTCAATTTTATTTATATAGCGCCAATTCATAATTTACATTATCTCAAGGCACTTTACATGGAAGGTCAGGACCTAACTATCATCTCTACTTCAGAGATGAATGTCTCCCCAGCAGAAAACTCTGGTCATGGGCAGTTAGAGCATGGGCAGTGTGCAGAGACAGTTTAGCCAGCCGGTCATCTCATTCAGTTGATGACATGATTGGTGTTTACCACAGTCCTGCGAGGGGCCCAGCTTATTTTGAATGACTAAAAAGCCAGTAAGTTTACACACAGTAGTCTGCAAACATATGAAAAACCAACAGCTAAGCTGCAGGTGCAGTAATACAACAATACTGACAGTCTTCAAAACAATTGTGTTGGAGTGCAATGAAAACGGCGTATGCAGCTTCCATTTTTTTTTAAATGGTTGCTGAAATAAAAGAATGAAAGTAAAGCAGTTTAATAAAGTGATTTATTACACAAGCTTTTTAAACTCAGCCTAAAGTATGGAGTGAAAATGACTGTACTTTACTTTTCTCTGTCAGTTTTAGGGACAGACTCTTACACCTGTCATCACATCAGGGTTAAAGTATTTAAAAAAAAATAAATGATTATTATACTCCTGTGTGTGCACAACTTCCCTGTCAACAGATATATTGACTAAATTAAAAATCTAAATATCAGGTCAGGAGATTAGACTTAAGTGTCTACCCTCCCTCCCTTCGAGTCTCCTGCACAGTGGTGAGCACTAGAGCTGTGGACATTTCCTGATTCTTAGATGCATCACGACGCGGACGACTCTGCATCGATGCAGAAATAAAACAATCATGTTATTTTTAGCTATGTCCTGCCACTTAATAATTCCAACCATCACTGCTTCAGTTCAGACGCACATTAAAGGTCCTGTCATGTTCTGTGTCAGAGTCTCTGTTGGAGTCTGTTTCCTCACTGTTTTAACTTCTTTGTTGCAGAAGAAGTGACGCCCCATTTATCCAGGAACATAAATATGCATTCATCAGGTTTTAATAAAGATCAGTTCTAAGTGTGAGGATTAGAAAACATCAGAGGAGAAGAATCTGTTGCTGACCAGCGGAGTAATACACCTCAGTGCAGTGGAGTTGCTAAGGGGGGGCCAGGTGGGGCCAGCTTGATACAGTAAAGGCTATAATCAGAGTTTTATCCTTTTAAGCCTGAGGTGCAGCACACCTCTAAACTGAATGAATGTCAAATCAGTGTGCGGAGCACTGACCACTGTCATAGACTTACTGTTGTAGTCTGATTCATGAATTGAAAACCTTTTTTTGTAAATTACAGCACACTTTAATAACAGTAGCAGTCTTTAATAGTTTTTAAAGCACTTTCTAAATAAAAAGAAAGTCCATATTTGACTGATTTTATGAACTCATATGAACTGATTAAAAAGCAGCCATGTGCAGTAATATAGGAAGCTGTGGGTGTGATATACTGAAATACATCAAGATGCATTAGTAGTCAACCTAGTGAATACCAAAGAAGACCATTGTCTCTGTGTGAACTGTTGAGTATTTAACTTAGTGTGACGGAAATAAAATAAATTGCGAGGTAAGAGATGTTCTACTATACTTTTTGCTTTTTTATAAATAATTATGAGAAGTGCCCTTTTTGTCACTTGAGCCCATGCCCTCCAAAAATGTCTGTGCATGTCCCTGCTCTGTGCTGACTGAGAGTTAGGAGATCACCCTGTCGTGGGAAAGTGGAGTCAGGTGACTTCTCTTCTTCCAGGCTTGGCTG